TGGATTCCTAAGAATCAAGGTCGTCTACGGCTATGTAATGGCTTTATGAAATTACCAGAGCAAAATAATAATATTTTCTCAAGTCTTAAAAATAAAGATGTAAAACGATATATGTGTCACTAAATGCTAATAGAGTATGAGGGATAATCAAAGGAATTATAAAGGAATTGTAAAAGGATAAGAGTAATTAAAAGAGGTAAGGTAATTATTAACTTCGCTTTTATCTTTTATATTTTTTATAAAGGGATGAGGATTAACATGATTCAATTATGGCGCGGTCGGTTTCTCAGGGGGCATGTATGCTATCAAGGTAGGTAAATGCTAATGGGAGTTTTATGGCGTCGAAGTGTATGCTAACCACGTCTCTTCTTTTTTGTAGAGGTACCATCAGTTCAAGATGCTGTTATGAGATCTTTGATGGTATCGATCCAATCACGAGGATCAGCGAGGATCGCGGGTTCGTCAAAGTCTTTGTGCAGGTCTTGATGCGGCATTGTCGTGATGGTGGTGGTATCTTTCCGAAGTGACTGCACGTCTTGTCTTCTAGGTAAAAGGGTTGACGGTGCAACGCCAAAGTCTTCGGGATATGGAATTTTTGAGCTCGATGCAAATCACTCGGATAAGAGCATAGTGATGAACCGTGTGATGACAACAAAACCATAATTCTCTTCCGATTGTAATCTTTCAATCTAACACTCGTGACGTTTTCGCGGCCCCCCTATGGGTTCGGTATGGGTCTTGAATCAAGTAGCAACCGGAAGTGTTCGCAGATGTGTCTTTCGTTCTTTCCTATGGTGCTCGAGAGAATGCATTTACTCTCAAATACAAAACTCGTAGTCCGGCAAACTTTTCAGGTAATCACTGATACAGTTTCCTTCTCATTTTGCTTTATCGTTTCGGGATCAGGTGCACTTTTTTTTCTTTTCCGTTTTTCCGTTTTTTTTTTCCATTTTTTTTTTTTTTTTTTTTGTTTTTCTCGGGTAGCTTTACTGACGGGTGTGCGATCGGATCCAGGATAAATATTCAGGGTTTGTCGGAATCGGATGTTTTCTTGATGGTGTAGCCTCTTCCAACGGTACTAGTTAAGTTTGTTTTCTTCGTATTGGTGGCGGCGTTCACGATTTCTTGTGGGAGGGTGCGCAACCGTGATCATGATCGTGATCACGTATGACAGCATTCCGGCATTTGATCTTCGGGGCCGTCATCTTCTTGAGGTAAGCGTTCCGTTTGCTATAACTATTCTGTTTTTGGGTGGTTAGTTTTTTCTCTAACCATTCTTGTCTTTTTTTCTTCTTTTTCTTTCCGCGTCGGTGCCTTCTTCGCGGTCTTGTCCCGGTATTTCCAATCGTCGGGGCGGTATATCTCTCGTCGGTCGTGATGTTGATTATTGTGGTGGGGGCTTGTCGGAGCGTTAGACATTCGTTGCCGTTCTGAATATATATGCATGCATATATACAGTATTCTAGGCGTGCATTATCCGACTTCGTAGGGTAAACTTTCGCGATCGTGATCGTGATCGTGATCATGATCGTATTTCGGCGTTTCGTCGGTCTTGGTAAGTTTCAGGTACGTTGCGGCGTTTTCTTTCTTTTGCGGCGTTCTACCATTGGCCTCTAACTCTCTTACCAGTCTTTCCCTAGCCCCATGCTTCACGTTCGATTCGCCATCCGCGGGTTCTCCTTGACCCTCGGCGATATCCATCGTCCCTGGCATGAGCTACCGGAGTCTCGTCGGTAAGTTCTAGTTCTTTTTGCCTTCTGGTTTCTTCGCCGTTCTTTTCTTTACAGACGGTCTTTCTTTCTTTAGGGACTCGTCCCTTGATTCTTTCGGTGCCGCGGCGTTTCTTCGTGATCGTTGGTATCCCGGCATGACCTTCGGGACCGACGACTTGTTGAGAGATAAGCGGTCTCTTTCCTCTCTTTTTCGTAACAGTATTCTTTTATTTGGTCTGAAGCCTCTTACCATCTTTTTCTAACTCGCAGCTTCCATCGTGTCGACGTCCCTCTCGCCGCCTTCGGGTTTGCTCTTCCGCGCAGCGCTCCGGCGTCTCCACTACTCGTCGCTGGAGTCTCCTTACTGGTAAGTCTCGTTGAAAATGGAAAGGATCGAATACGAGGATCGTCTCTTTTTTTTTTTTGTACCGCCTCATCATAGTTGTAAAGAATTTTTTTTTTTTGTTTTTTTTTTGTTAACACTCGTCGCATGCACGAACACGATTTCGCTCTGATCAATCATAGGCTTCCACTGATCGAGTAAGAGACGAATCCCATTTTGCAGAGCAGATTCGTTATATCGCCTTATGGTAGCACTTGCAGATTTTGCCTTTTGTTTTTTATATCTAAAACGACAAATGTTAATTCGCCGTTTCTTCTTTGTGTGCTAGGGGTGTGTCGATCTTCTCGCGATCGTACGGCATCTCGACAGTATCCTCGGAGCCGTCGTCGCTTGACAAGGCAAGTTTCTCCATTATGTTGGGTCGGTTGGAAGGCTTCTCTTGGGTCACATAGTTTCTTTGAATAGGGGCGGCGAATTCTCATCGTTATAGCGTCGTTTATTCATTTTTTTTATAATTTAATTTTTTAGGGGAAAGGTGCATATACCGCCGATCCCGTGATCGTCATTCTTTAGGCTTCGCTTTTCTTCTGCACAAGCCATTCCGGAGCTTCTATCGTTGGATTTGGACTTATTTTAGGTCGGGACGATGCTTCTTCATCTATTCAGCATATACCAGCAGCCGAATTCTTCGTAGGTATTGTTGTTGGAGCAGAATTGGTTTTTGTTTCTCTGATCGTCACGAACACAACGTTGCTTTTGTCGCTTTTTGAAGATCGAATTTCCTCGGGGCAATTTCTCAGGGATGGCAATCAAAGAGCATTCCATTTTTGGGACCTGATTGTCGAATTTGTGTCTAATGAATGAGGTGCATCTCACAGTCACCACCAATTTGTCATATATCGTTCTATCTCAGAAGAAAGTTATAGACAAAGAACTAATAGCAGGGAGACACTTTGTATGGATGGACCAATGTGGTATGCTAAAGTTCATAAGGGTGTACTAAAATTAGTACAGTTCTGAGGTATATGAGGTCAAGCAAAAGAGGTAATGGTAATTTGTTTATAAAGGTCAAGTTATTTTATTAATAAAAAGGAAAGTTCAATCTTGCAATTTCAGGAGGAATTGGAGGCATTTATATACATATTTTTAATATATGAATGGCATACATGATAGTAGTATATGTTGGTAAAGATAATAGTTATGGAAGAGATGATATCTTTATCAAAATAGTCAAATATACTAACATTGGTAAAGATGAATACTCTAATGAAGATAACAAAGTGATAATAGTAAATAAAATTAAAGAATATTTCAAAATAGGAAGAGATAGTTAAATAGGCAAAGTAGACGAAGGTATTACAGTAGATCAATAGTATAGAAATTCTAAAACAAGAAGAGGATATTTCAGGATTAAATGCTAGTGGATTGTCACAAGAATAGATAAAATGTTAAGCAAAGATCAAGTGTAACAATATGAAAATCATAAATTGATTGAATCTGATTTAAATCGAGTTTTTAACAATTTTATTTTAAATTAGAATCGAATCAAATCGAATCGAAATCGAATCGTTTAAATTTAATTTTTTTAATTTAAAAATCGAATTGAATTGAATCGAATCGAAATTTTATTGTTTAAATTTAATTTTTTAAATAAAAGAATCGAATCGAATCGAATCGAATTGAATCGTTTAAATTCGATTCTAAATAGAATCGTTCGGATCCTTAGTCCTATCATCCAAAATATGATAAGTGTGTATCATCATCATCAAGATATGTCAAAGAACGTTCACAATAAAGCATATTTATCGTGGCCTCGATGTGCTTTCAATTTAACATCTCATATGGTCGTATTCACCAATGATATAATCATAACCCGGTCCACATCACAAACCCCCACGCTGACATACAGGTTCACATATCTGGGGTTCTATGTGTGGCAGCATAACTTCGGACCATATAACAACTCAACAGACTTAGTAAGTGGCCAGCCTACCTATTTTCACTGTCACCCAATTTTTCACCTGTATTATAAAGTGTCTTCCTGCTACTCTTCCTTCAATATCCACTCCATTATCTCCTCTTCTTCCAACTCTTCTCGATTCAACATTTACTCGTTGAAGTTTTTCGTGTACCTGGTTTTCAAGAAAATTTCCTTTAGCAATGGATGAAAGCATCTTGTATTCAAATGATTTCAAACTTACCCTCCTTCGATGATTCATTTTATTCAAATATTAAAGTTTCGTTTTTTGATATTCAAGGATTCCTTTGTCAGTTGTCAACACTTTTTTAAGTAACTGCGCATGCCGCAATGCATTAATAGTCGCATATTCGTTTATTGATAAAATTTTATCAAGCATAAAATGGTTTCAATCATATTTTATTTCATAAATGAACATAGCAGAGATATTTATTCTTAATAGACATATTCTTAGAGAGTAAGGGGTGCATAAAAATAATAGGCAAGTTTACCCGAAAAGGTATTCCCACGTTTGTATATCATTTTAAGAAATCATAAAAATTTTGACTCCAATAAACTCATTTCACTACCACTATCTAGAATATTAATGTATTTTGTGATCTTGAGCATACGTATTATTCATTTCTTCCATCTTTACATTAATAAAAGATGAAAAAAATAATCCTAAAAATATCAAAGATTTTGACTCCAATAAACTCATTGAAGATTAACTTATAATGTTTCTTTCGTGCAAATACTTAAACTTGTCTCCCGCCGATTCTCCTATTTTGAATCTTTGGACAACTACTAAACAGGTTGTTATTGAATAGTAATTTTTTCCTGAATAGACTTTTGAAACATAATACAAATTAATATTCTAATTTGATTCTTGAGTCATTTCAATTCCATTCTTTAATAATCTTGTGATATCGAACCAATTCAATTCTTTATATCTTGAAGATTCTTGTGCATATGGATTTGATAAGAATCATTCAAAGTGTTTCTTAAATTATAAAGGTGAATTGAATAATGGTTATTTTCGATGAAGGTAAATTATTTTTCATATCTTGAAAATTCTTGTGCGTATGGATTTGATAAGAATCATTAAAGTATTATTCAATTAATGAAAATTTTACTCGTGAATTTGAGGGTATTTTATACTTTTTAAATCGGCACACAAATGGAAATTCACACATATTTATAAGCAATCAAGCTATATCAAATCTCACTCACTTTATTTAGATATATATTACATAAATTTATAATCAGAATAATTATGTAATGCACTATATATAAAACTTTTTACAGTAAACCATCGAAGTCTTTCTATATTATATTGATTTATTCGTTCTTGAAAATCATCCTCATCCTCCCAATCCCGAATGGGGTATGTAGGTGGAGTTCCCGATTCAACTTGAAATGCTTGAACGTTGTGATCAAATCGTGATGGTTTGATTCGATCTTCACTTATTGTAAACAAATTCTGTTCCATAAAATCTGCTACCTCCCAGACTAATGGAGATCTCTTAAGGTGAAAAGAAGCATCGGTGCGATATTCTTCTTTAAATAAAAGAAGATAAGAAAATCCTGGAGTTCCAGGATCAGCGAGAGAGAATGAGCTCCCTAGAGACATTTGTTTACTTGTTTTTTTATATAAAACTCTTGTGATCTGTTTAGTGGATTTACGAAAAGATGTGAATATTGAAAGCATTTTATACTTTTTGAATTATATATCAAAATAGAATGTTGAATACCGTAAAGGTGGATCCACATGCATTTATATAACCCATCAAATCACGATCCGCAAATTCCCAAATACCAATTAGAGATCTTTAAGACATTCATTGCAATACATTCTAACATTCTAATGTCTTCTAATTTTCAAGAAACCAATCACGAAATTAATACCCTCAAGAAAAAATTAGATATCCACTATACCACATAATACGGTCATTCTTCAAATTAATACCGGTATCATCCTGAATCCTTGGGAAAAGTTTATCACGAATCTCGACCATATCTTAAATTGATTCAACAAAGATCAATTTACCTTTAACACAAGAGATATTATATTGATTTAAAAAAATTTGAATGGATTTAACTTTATTAATCTATCATTCTATCTATTTGTACCAGCAAAGGAAAAGGAAAATACCAATTGATATTCTGTTGGATTATAAAAATATAAATATATGTACGATATATTACGAAAACTTAACAAGTTATATAATTGATCTATGTAATAAAAACTTAAATATCGATCTATGTGCCAAAAACTTATCAACAAAATAAAAATGGTTCAAAATTGACCGATGAATGTCAGCAAAGGAAAAAGGGAAATACCAATTGATATTCTGTTAGATTATATAAATATTTATCCTAAATCCTTGATTCATCCTATTCATTCTTATCGTTAAAAGGATGACATCCACTTGATATAATCATTCATCGATTTTCAAATCCCCTAAGAATAAAGATTGAGTATCAGCACCTCGCCATTATCAGAGACAATTTTAACACCCATCCCAATGGTCACGCAGGGTGGAAGGAGCCTGACAGGTGTACCTTATCAAAATAACATCATCGATCCACACTCACCTTCAATCAATAAATAAATATAATATTTCGGATTTTCCTCAATTTCAATACACCATTCCTGAAATTCGTTATATGAACTTCGTACATTTGAATATAGAGTATATACATTCAAAGATGTAAATATTGCTATCACAGAGATGAGATATATTCGACTAGCTCGAATTTTGTGACTATTCAATTCATAATATGTTATTATTTCGAGAGTAGTAGATAATAAGAATGCGAAAAAATACGTTAAATGATCAAAATTTTTCATTTTATTTACCATCCTCCACTCTTTGGATCCTATTATTTATATAACCATGTCAGTACATATTTTAAATACATATATTAAATACCTTTAAATATACAAACCAACTTACCAAAAAAATATAAATCATCATAAACCTATCCAATACTTTCGAATAATCATATGAAATTACAAGGAAGATAATATAAACTGTATATCTCAGTTTGCAGAATAAGAATATTAAGAGTAAGCATGTGAAGATCAAAAGTTTTTCCGTAAATGATGCCATGATTAATCGGTAACGCCCCCGGTGAGCCCTGTCGAAACAATGCTCAATGAAATCAAATCGAGTTAAATAAATGGAACAATTTTGTTGGGATTTTGTCACTTGGCAACGTTCCACTGTCGGATATTGACCTGTAACAATATAAAATTATTTTGATTCGAAGTTATATTGGAAGTAAAAAATATCTAACATCAAAATTTGATGTTACTAGAAAAATTTTAATTGAAGGTGAAAATGTCTAATATCAAAATTTGATATGTTACTAGTTCGAAAAAGTTTTTATCGAAGTAAAAAATGTTTAGTTTTGAAATCTGGAAACTGAAATGGGATTTTTAAATAAAACACTTATCTATTTTTGTTTATCTTTGATCATCCGTTATGAAACACAAAATGTATACAAAATACTCAAGTGACCATATCTCGAATCACACAATAGAAGATTAACCATACAAATTATTCACAATGAAATACGTAAACCGACAAAATCTCATGATAACCTGCATCTGAAAGATCAAAGTCCTCAGCCTTTATCTCAAATAAAACACACGCAACCATCTCATGCAACCAACTCATGACACCCACTTGCATCCGAAAAATCGAGCCCCTCAGCCCTTATCTCAAAATACACCATGCGGCCATAAAATTTCACAAAACTCGCTTGAAAGATCAAGTCCTCAGATCTCATCTCGGTACTCTTCTCATCCATGAATCAAGTTCTTCAGCCTCAACTATGATTTTGAAATTGTCTTCATTCAAATGACTTATGAAACCAAACAAACCACAAAATAGTTATGAAAAGTCTCACATGCATTGTTCTCAGGGATCAAGTCCCTCAGCCTAACCACAGAGATATCACCATTCTCACCTAAAAATTTATTCATTCGAAAAAAAATCAATGGAAATATCTCTTTATATTTTTTCATTCACACGTCCGATTGGTTCGAGCATAAACACCAATCATGCATCAATCAAACTTGTTTAGGCATGTTTATGCATGTTCATGCACGTTCATGCATGATCATCACACACATGCATTACACAGAGTATGTACAGCTCAGCCCGCATGCAGCTCAGCCCACATGCAGATCAATTCTGGGATATATTCACTCATCGTTTTTTCAAAAAATTTTTTCCACCTCTCCCCGAATTTTTTTCAAA